CCTTTCAGAAATAACCCTCATTCATTAACCCTCTCTGGCCCACACACCAGCTGTGAGTCCTACCACACCTCCCCACCCCACACACTGGTGACCCCTACCCAACGTTCTCCTTCCAGTAGCCCAGTCTGGAGAGTCTTCTTCCAAGGACAAGAAGCAGGAGCGTGGCCGCTCCCAGGAGAGGAAGCAGCACTCCTCCTCCTCCTCCGAAAAGCAGCGCTTCTACTCGTGCGACCGCTACGGCAGCCGGGACCGTGCCCAGCCCAAATCTGCGGAGCAGAGCAGGCCCACGTCCCCCAACGGGGGCCCAGAGCACGGCCCACACAGACAGGTGAGGAGAGCCAGGGTGGGGAAACAGCCCTGAGCTCTGACAGCGACTTCTTGCAGCTTTTCCGTGTTTTGCTTAAATTAGAGGAGGTGGGAAGGGGAAGGAAGGTCAGGCAGATGAAGCCATTGAGGTCCTGCTTGAGGCCTCACATCAAGGTTAGAAAATTCCTCCAAGTCCAAGCTGTGTCCAATCCCACCTTGTCCCTAGCCCAGAGCACTCAGTGCCACCTCCAGCCCTTCCTTGGATACCTCCAGGGATGGGCACTCCAAACCTCCCTGGGCAGCCCCTGCCAATGCCTGACCACCCTTTCCATGGAGAAATTCCTGCTGATGTCCACCCTGAGCATCCCCAGCAAAACTGAGGCTGTTTCCTCCTGTCCTATTTCCTCTTACATGGGAGCAGAGCCCGACCCCCACCTGGCTCCATGCTTCTGTCAGGGAGTTGTAGAAACCAAAAGGGTCCTCCCTGAGCCTCCTTCTCTCCAGGCTAAAATTTAGTTCTCCCTTCTTTGTTAATTGTGAGGTGTTCAGGCCCTTGGGAGAAGCTGGGAAGCTTCCCCTGGCTGCTGGAGGATTGCTGGGAGAGCCAGGAAGGGCAGGGCAGAACAAGCAGTGTGTGACAGCCTGACATGCCTGATGGGGTGATTGGAAAGAAAAAGTGCTTTTTAAATTTAAAGGTCTGGTCTCAAAATGTTAGGTTGGGAAAGGCTGAGGGATTGTTCAATGCATTCATGTGCTGCCTTGGGAGAATGTAAACAGAAATGGGAAGATGGGCCCTTTCCTCTCACTCATGGCACTTGTGTAAATTACTGCAGCTTAGTTCACTCTCACAAGGCATTATTAGTAACCCAGGAAGCTGCAGACCCGTCTACCACTCCAAAATCAAATGTGTAATATTAAAGAGGAGAATGTGAATGTATTTTTGTTAAAGGGACTTGTTAAAGCCTGTCCAAAAAGCTTTTGGTTGTTATTTTTTCAGAAATTGGCTATTTAATCCAAAGGTATTTCATTCCCAACCTGCTAAAAACAGTCACCCGGATCCTCCTTCCATGCAGAGTCCATAATAATAATAACAACCCCTAATCCAGTTTTGGCAACAGAAATAGATTCATGGAATCCTAAAATGGTTTGATTTGGAGGGGACCTTAAAGCTCATCTTTTTCCAACCTCCCACAAACCCAGCACGCACAACTGTGGGGTGAAGTTCTGCACAGACCCACCCCGAAGCTAAACCGTAAAAAAAAACCAACAACAATTTGTAAAAACCCCCAACACTCGGGTTTTTGAGCTGCTCCCAGGCCAGGTAAGGCGCATGTCGAGCCCTGTATGCTGTGGGTGCCTCTCCTGGGCAGTGTCCCCTCTGTTGGAGCCGTGTCCCAGTTTGCGTCCTACCGATGCTCTGCCCCTCTCTGTTCCTACTGCTCCCAGACTTGAACTCTCCAGCTCTTCACATCTCGTGTTAAATGATCTCTCGAGAGCCTCCCCCCCCCGACTGTGCTTGTCTAAACTCTCTCTTTTTTTTTTTTTTTTTGCTTTTCTTTCCTCTTGTGACTCGTCTCCGCCTTCTGTTGCTTCTCCTTCTGTTTGATACCTGCCTGCCTTTGTGTTTGTCCGGCGTTTCCCTTTTTTTATTTTTTGATTTGCTCTGTTCCAATTTTGATGTAGGGCAGTGGTTCAGTTAATGGGAGCCCCTTGCTGTCGACATCTGGTGCTAGTACCCCCTGCCGGGGTCGGAGGCAGCTCCCACAGACTCCACTGACCCCACGCCCCAGCATCACTTACAAGACCGCTAACTCCTCGCCCGTGCACTTCACCACTTTCCAAACCCCCACGTTCTCCCCGGGCCGCCTGAGCCGCGGGCTGTCCGAGCACAACGCGCTGCTGCGGGGGGATCAGCAGCCGCCCCCGCCCGCCGTGGCCCGCATCGGCTCCGACCCCTACCTGGGCCACCGTGACACCGCCACCGCTAGCCCGCAGCGCGCCGCGCCCGAGGACACGCTCACCTTCGAGGAGGCCGTGGCCACCAACTCGGGCCGCTCCTCAAGGACTTCCTACGTCTCCTCCCTGACCTCGCAGTCGCACCAAACCCGCCGGGTGCCCAACGGGTACCACTACACGCTGGGGCTCAGCACAGGCCCCGGCGCCAGAGGACGCAGTTACTACCACGAGGCCGATGAGGATGACTGGTGCTAGCGGCTCGGCGGAACCCTGCGAGGTGTGCGTGCTTAATAAGGATGAGTTTTATCATCTGGAGGGCTGGGAGCTCCCACGGGGGCCCGAGGCCGGAGGCGGCCGGCGGGGCAGCCCCGAGAACTGCTCAGCGCCCGGGGCCGGAGATGCCCCTGCAGCCTCTCTCTCCTCTGTTGTTCTTTAGTTTGTTTTTTTTTTTTTTTCTTTTTGATTTGTTTTTTGTTTTTGCACTAGACAGATGGAGGAAGAAGGCTCCCTCCTTCTGGGGAAGGCAGCGGGAGGAGCACATCCCTCTCTGCCCCCTCCCCACTGCCTTGTCTAGTCCCGAGACACGCACCAGGCGCCAACCCGGCCAGGGACGCCAGGAGCCGGGAGAAGAGCGATCCTCACCTTCCACGGTGGAAAAGCAGAACTGTGGGTCCTTCTCGAGATGGGCGCAGTTTTGTTGGGCTATTTCTTAATTGATTTCCCATCATAATTCCCTCCCTGCCAGGGCGGGAGCCGGGGGTCGCAAAGGGACTCGCGCGAACAACGCTCGCCCCCCGCGTTCTGTCTCGTTGAGCGCTGAGAAGGAAGTGATGCACCCAAGAAACTGGGAGAGGAGAAAAACACAGCCCAGAACAAAGGACAGTCCTTTGGGACTTGATGTTCAGCCACTGCAATCCTTTAGGGCAGAGCTGGTGCCACCCCCCGAGCTGACCCTGCTGTGACACCGCTGCCCTTGGGGGTCTCTAATGTCACTCACCACATCGGGTCCTTCACACTGACACACGGTAAAGCCACAAGAGAGCTCCTTTGTAAGGACTGTTTCCTTGCTGCTGAGACTTCTCAATCCATCCCTCTCTCCTGTTGACTGCAACACGCCCTCACTGTTTTGTCTTGTTTACAATATAAGCTTGATTTAGCAAAAAACAACCTAAAAAAAAAAAGTCCACAAAAAAAACACAAACACCACCCTAACCAAAAGGGGGAAAAAAAGTGTAGGGGTGAGAAGAAGAAATGTTATTGGTTTTATATCAAGCTATTAGATAGAACTTTAACTTTTCATTGTGTGCATTTTTGTAAATTGTACAGTAAAAAAAACCAAAAAAAAAAAAAAAAAACCAGAAAAAAATTTCCTCTTTCTGTAGAGAATTAGTCCAGTTGTCATTCCAGGTCCCACCGTTTCTACCGAATGCTCCAGTTGTTCACTACTAAGTGCCTAACCTTTGAAATCTTTCACAGTGACGATGCAACCTCTTGCTTCGAGGCATCAGAGCTTGGGCGAGCGTGGGGAGGGCAGAGGGGGCTGGGGCCAGAGGGGCCCTGGGGTCACCACGGCCCAGACACTGCACCCCAGGCTGGGAGCTTCCAGTGGGGAAGGCAAACGTGCTTTGGGCTTGGTTTGGGTTTTGTTGGCCTTTCTTTTTTATTTTAAATTTTTTTTTTTTTAGAATATATAAATATATATATAGATATACTTTTATGGGTGGGAGGGGAGTGATTGCAGCAAACAAAGCCGGCCTTGTCTCATTGCCCAGTGGAGGAAATGCAGGTGGGAAAGGGCAGCTCCTGCAGGGGAAGCAGCATCTCCCACAGGCCAGCTGAGAGCTCTGGCCGTGCATCACTGGTGTGGAGGGCAGTTGGAGTGAATTGTTTTTATTGCCTGATAAGAGAAGGTTTAAAAAAAAAAAAAAAAAGATGATAATAATAATAATAATAATAATCCAAACCTCTAACTCTGATTCTCAGGGATGAGATTTCTGCGTTCTTGCAACGACTCTTGTGTTGGCTGGTTTCTTTCTTTTGTGCCCGTGTGGATTCCTGCACTGTGAGCCTGGGAAAGGGGCAAACGCACTGTGCTGGTGGGGAGGGAGGCTGGGGCCAAAGCTGGGCCAGGACCTCGTGCCCGGGGCTCTGCTGAGCCCTTGTAGGGCTGCTTTGGGACACAGGGCAGCCAGAGGACTGGAGAGGTTAAAAGGTGAAAGGAGGAAGGCTGGGAGGTGCTGGGCACGTCCCTAAAAACACCGCTAGGAAAGAGGACAGGGTCGGAGAGGTGAATTTTTTCAGAGGATCTGCCAAGCCCCAGAGCTGTGGAACTTCTCCAGGCGTGTGGGATGGGTGGAAATCCCGCTGGCCCCGGCGATCTGCTCTGTCCCTGGGGGGCTCGGAGGGGATCAGATGCCACCAAAACGCTCAGGAGGTCTCTCGTGCTCTCAGCAAAGTCTGGCAGCCTCAGGCAGGAGCACTCTGCTCTAGGGTGGTTCTTCACATCTCCTGTAGCTCTTCCCGTGAGGAAACTCAACCCGCTTTTGTTCCCTCCGGTGTTTTGTTTTAATTTCGTTCTGTTCAGTAGCAATCTCTGGCCGATCTCATCCCTGGATTCTGCTAAAGGATAACTGCTGTCTGTATCTCTGTCTCTGTACTCTGTGCACTCGGAATAAAGGCAGTGTGGTAGCCAGAGGTCACGGCTGGCATTCCTGGCATTCCCAAACGGAGGGCTATGCAACCGATGACACGTCCGGACACACCCCCACCCCACCTCCACGCAAAGACCTTCATCCATCTGTAGCTTTAGCTGCTGGATTTTCCTGTTTCAGGCTTCAGCACGATTGTGACCAAATGTTTTATACATTTTCCTGAAATGAAGGCACAAACACTTTATTTGAAATTTTCCAAGGGAACGTTCCTCTTTTACTCCAGGAAGTCGAGGGGAAGGGACAACACCATCTCTCTGCCCGTGCATGCAAACACTGTACCCACACTGGAAAGCAACAGAGATGCCTTTCTGTACGGAATAATCCTGTCTTTTCTCCCATTTTCCATCCCCAACCCCCCCAGCCCTGCACTAACACAGCCTTGGGTCACCTCAGTTACTAGACAGAAGACTCTCAAGTTGTCCAAATCCTTCACCCACCTCGTAGGGGTCGATGACAGTGACAGACAAGCCTGACCACAATTATCCATAACCCTTTCCTGACGTTTTTTTACAGCCTCTCTGCTGTCTCTCCATCTTTCCAAGAATCCTCATAGTGAGTTGCCAAACTTGAATTGCACCGATCAGTTTTCTGCATCCAGAACCAGTCTCGTAGTGGCTGTACTTTGAATAAGTAATGTTTGCATGTAATATATATACATATATACATATCTATAAAAAGTATGTGCATGGAAAATGTTTATCTTCGTACTTTTTTGATACAATGTATTCATCAGTTGTTAATTTTTAATTATATTTGATATAAATTCGGGGGTTTGTTGCAAAACTTTATATTTAAAAAAACAGTGTGAAAAACGATCAAAGTTCCAACCATGCAACACAAGCGGAACTTTACCCAAAAAAAAATAAGGGGGGAAAAAAAATTGAGAAAAAAAAAAAGGTTCTGTGATTGCCTAGTTTGCTGCCTGAGTAATATTTATCAGCCAAACTTTGAATTCTGCAGTTGTTTCTACAATTCCATTTTGTATGAAGCAAAGTCCTTGAATTAAAATAAAAACTTAGCAAAAAAAACCAAACCAAACAACGTGAGCAATTCCCAGACGGTGTGTGCGGTGTGCCTGCTGACAGGGAGACGCCAGGGCCGGCGTCCAGGAGTGACAGGAGTGACACCCGGGACAATCCGAATCCCAGACTGGGAGCTGGCAGGGAATTGGCCGTGTCTGTGGGTTTTTTTTTTGTCCATAGATGCTCAGTTTGAGTAAGGGAGCTGTTTGGAAATTTGTGGTGTGGATCCAGCACGGAGATGGCACTTCCTGGAGTCCTACAGGCAGCAGAACTGTGAAGTTGAGGGTTAAAGCCCCCAGCAGTGATTGATTCCTGCCAGCTTTTTAACGGAGGGATGTTCCTCCTGTGAAACACTGGCACAGGGAAGCTGTGGATGCCCCATCCCTGGGAACATTCAAGGTTGGATGTGGCTCTGAACAAGCTGGAAGTGCCTCTGCTCATCCCAGAAGGGTTGGACTGGAGGACCTTTAAAGGGTCTAACCCTAAATCCAACCCAGACTATTTTATGTGCTGGGTGTGTGGCTTCCTTTGGCTCTAGCCCTGAGCCCTGACCCCACTCCCAGCAGGTTCCCTGAAATCAGCAGTGTGAGGGCTTGGATTGGTGTCTGTCAGATGTCCAGGTCCTGCTGTAGCACCTGGAGAAAACAGAATTAGTCTTAATCATACTTGTGGGATTAATTAGAAGTTGGTACTTCCAAGACTTGCACTGAGCAGAAAACCCAAGGGCTGTTGGGACAGAAGGAAAGAACTTCTCATTTCTCTGGATAACAGGAGAATCCCCCTCATTCCTTTCCAGGGGCAGAAATCCACTGTGTTCCTCCTTCATCAGGGTCTTCTGGTGTCACAGAACACCAAGGACTCCAAAAATTCTTGCATACTGTAGAGAACTTTTTAGAGCACAAGGTCTTGACTCTTCTTCTCTCGTTGCATCTTTTCTGTGATGAGGCCACACAAGGTCCCACCTGAGATTTGATGTGGAATAAAAGGAAAAGGTCCTTGACTCCCTGATCTCCAGGTCAGCCTGGATCTTGGGAAGGAGATGTTTTGCTCGAGGTCACACAGTTGATGGTTAGCAAGGTTTGGGGCAGGAGAACTTTCCTTGGCTTGCAGTGTGCCCTGTGTGGGGTTTGGGGTTCTTGGCTGGATGACACTGAAGAGCAAGAATTTTATTAAGTTTTTGAAATATCCCAAATGAATCTGAAATGGAGATTTCTGAGCAGGGTACAAGGGAAGGTTTGAAGTGGAGGATTTGGGAATCGGTGTGGATCAGTGTCCACCCCGACTGCTGAGTGGACCCTGCAGGATTTGCTTCACCACAACCACCTGGGGAGCTGGAATCTGCCTGGGGAGAGCTGAGCAACCTTTCCCCTTCACACCTGCATCACAGAGACCTCCAA